TGGACAGGCATTTTCAGTACCATGGACAGGCATTTTCAGTACCATGGACAGACATTTTCAGTACCATGGACAGGCATTTTCAGTACCATGGACAGGCATTTTCAGTACCATGGACAGATGTTTTCAGTATCACGGACAGGCATTTTCAGTACCATGGACAGGCATTTTCAGTACCATGGACAGGCATTTTCAGTACCATGGACAGACATTTTCAGTACCATGGACAGGCATTTTCAGTACCATGGACAGACATTTCAGTTCATGTTCAGATTTTTTTTCACGTACAAGAGTCTTGAAAATCACATGCAAATTGCAAGTTGCATGTGGGTATTTCAAGCCCTGCAATTCTTTTTATAACAAATAGGCAAGCACATATGGCACGAAGTGATCCACAGTTTTACTTGTAGTTTATCTTTCCCCAAGTTTATATTTCCACTTAGTTCAGCTTCAGTTCACCCAAGTACGGTCCATTAAAGTTGACTTGAGTTGGCATGTTGCCAGTGACTCAAAGTTTTTACACCTAGCTGAGCAAAATCTAGGACTGTCACAATACTAATGCCATGTACATGTTGTGCATAATGATGCAATCTTCAAAGGTGTCTGAATCTTTTAATATCATTCTAGTAGAGATTAATCTTATACAGCAAATGTATTCAACTTTGTAATTGTCATATTTCACAGCAGTAGGAAAATGAGGTTTTCCCAGTAATTTAAATTTATGGTTGAAACAATTGTGTTAAGTGCATTTACTTTTCCAGTAGTAATAATACTTGTAAGGAAGGTACATTCTGGAATATTCTGAATAAGGCAATCTGTATGATATTGTAACATACTGCCCCACATTAGCATATTTGCATCAGTATTTCATACTCTGGGCATCTAAAACAGTGCAGAAACAAGCTTGTTTGTTTGTTTATTTGCACAACAGCAATAAAAATTATACATAATACACTAGTAATAAATAAAACAGGTGCAGGAGGAGGTAAGAAAGCTTATTTAGCTTATGCTAAGCCCTCCTCCTCTATACTAACCAAAACTAAACATAATTGAATTGAAAATTAATACATACATACGTGCATAAGGAATTGTTATCAAAATAATTCAAACATGGGCAAAATGATACAATAACAATAATGAAGCAATAGTATACATAAATTGAGATGAAATAAAATTGATATGAAATAATACATACATACAGAAGGAATTGTTAGCAAAATAATTCAAACATAGGCAAAATGAAACAATAACAATAATGAAACAATAGTATACATAAAATAAAAAAATTGCACCGATATAAGTCCTTTATTTCCTGGGTAATAACAAAAATCAGCCTAGGATACTACCAGTAACTGTTTTCCATCTCAATTTTTAGCATTTTATTTTTACTCCATGAATGTCGATATACAATGAGATAGTGTTGTTTCAACTTAGTATGTAACAAGAGACTAGAATATTGTCTTTGAAAAATCTGGCTTTCACGCCCTAAAACTTTATTGGGCGCCTTTTAAGTCACCACGAAAAACTTAAAGTGCTGTTTGTCATTCTAGACTTTGCAAGGAAAAGCTTTTATCAGGTACACTTTAAATAGGCCTGGCAATCTCAAGATCTACATGTATGAGGGTTCCATGCACTCTGGTTGTACTTAGTGTTAACGTCTGCCGTATAAAGTGTGACCTGAGGTAATCTACCCCTCTCTGCTGTAGGCCAGATTTGCAGTGGAATGGATGGCACCTGATGTGGTGTAATGGGGCGTGTGCTTTGGAGGAGTGCCGGAGGGCACAGGGATTCTTAATGCTGTAAGGGATGGGTAGATGGATGAAGGGATGAAAAGATGAATGAATGGACAGATGGAGGGATGAAAAGATGAATGGATGGATGGATGGAGGGATGAAAAGATGAATTTCAGAATGATTTTCAGTACCATGGAAATTTTCAGTACCATGGACAGGCATTTCAGTACCATGGACATTTTCAGTACCATGGACAGACATTTTCAGTACCACGGACAGACATTTTCAGTACCATTTACAGGCATTTTCAGTACCATGGACAGGCATTTTCAGTACCATGGACAGATATTTTCAGTGTCATGGACAGATATTTTCATTATCAAGGATAGGCATTTTCATTATCAAGGATAGGCATTTTCAGTACCATGGACAGACATTTTCAGTACCATGGACAGACATTTTCAGTGCCATGGACAGACATTTTCAGTACCATGGACAGACATTTTCAGTACCATGGACAGACATTTTCAGTACCATGGAAGACATTTTCAGTACCTTGGACAGGCATTTTCAGTACCATGGACAGACATTTTCAGTGCCATGGACAGACATTTTCAGTACCACGGACAGACATTTTCAGTACCATGGACAGACATTTTCAGTACCATGGACAGACATTTTCAGTACCATGGACAGAAATTTTCAGTACCACGGACAGACATTTTCAGTACCTTGGACAGGCATTTTCAGTACCACAGACATACATTTTCAGTACCATGGACAGACATTTTCAGTACCATGGACAGAATCCTTGACCTACTATAAAAGATCATAATTAATGTTGGAATTAAAAAAAAACATGTTATTGCTTTCAAGTCCTGTCACTAGCTGTCTAGTCGAGTCAGAATGAAGCCTTTACTTGCATTTCCTGTAGATAATGATATCACATATAGGTCTTAACTTGGATGAGCAACATTGTATACCTATCACATTTTATAATCATTACTGCTGAATGGCATAAAAAACAAATTTCCCCATACTACAGTGAACAGCCTACGGGGATGTCTTGCCCTATTTCATATCGACAGAATCTCAGTCATGATTTTTCATGCAATTGATCTCTTAGGTTAGGCCTAGGAAAAAAATGTTGTGTTTCCCTGTTTCTTGTCCAACCCGAGCAAAACCCCACAAGAGCTAGCCTTCTTTTGGCATTAAATTTTTGATCTGACATCTGAATTTCAAGGCCCCTAAAACTTTATTTCATGCGTTCTTAGGTGCAAATTTTTATCGAGTAACTTGGCCAAACAGTATGCTCTTTTCCCACAAGCAAATAGAGGATCGAATAGGTCCTGGAGACAACCCTGGTCCTGTTGCATTTCAGTTTTATATTGTAAACTGTATTTGTACACATGTAGGGTCACTTCAGCCAAACTCTAACTATTAACCAGTCTTCAACAAACCAGAATCCCCACCTACAAACCAGTGGCAAATTTTGCTCATAGACTAAACGTTGTTTAGTAACATCTTGTTCTTTATCTTTACACACTGATTTTTGTCCATCAAAAGATGTACATATTTGTCCGTTATGAGCGGCAAAACTTTGTCAAATGGCGGTTGGTCAAAGATAGAGACTCTGGCTAGAACACTGCTACCAACCCTGTTTTTTTCAGGGCTGAGGCCACACCAATTTAATTTCTTGGTTGACGGATTTGCCTTCTTCATTTTTTTCTGATTTGCAAAAAA